ATATATATGTTTTAATTGGTGTGTGTTATTTGTTGCTGTCGCTGCCTCTTTATTCTGCTCTCTTCTTTTTTGTTTGTTTAATTTTTATAAAAAATGGACAAAGGCGTTAAAAACAAAATAAAAAATAAATAAATAAATATAAATAAACAAATAAATAAGGACAATAAACAGAGACATAAAAAATAAATAAATAAATAGATAAGAAACAATCTCTCTCTCTCTCTCTCTCTAACCCCCCTTCGTATATACACCAGAAGCACCAGCACCTCCATACGCATGCAGGGTACCTTAAGGGGGCCCCAGGGGGCCCCTGGGGGCCCCCTTAAGGTACCCTTAGGGGCCCCTTAGGGTACCCGTAGGGGCCCGCTTAGGGTACCCTTAGGGGCCCCCTTAGGGTACCCTCAGAGGTCCCTCTTAAGGTCCCCTTAGGGGCCCCCTTAGGGTGCCCTTAAGGGCCCCCTTAAGGTACCCTAGGGGCCCCCTTAAGGTACGCTTAGGGGCCCCCTTAAAGCACCCTAGGGGCCCCCTTAAGGTCCCCTTAGGGGACCCCATAAGGTACCCCTAGGGGCCCCCTTAAAGCACCCTAGAGGCCCCCTTAAGGTACCCTAGGGGCCCCCTTAAGGTACCTTAGGGGCCCCCTTAAGGTACCCTAGAGGCCCCGTTACAAAGAGCTGTTGACAGCAAAGAGGGGGGGGCCCCAGAGAGAAGAGGGGGCCCCTAGAGAGGGTACCAGCAAAACTTAGGGGGCCCCCTAAGACTCCTACAATCCTAGGAGGGGGCTCCGGGGGCCCCATGCTGCGTCTGCTGCTCCTTCTGGTGCTGCTTCTGCTGCTGCTTCTGCTGCAGCTTCTGCTCCTCTTTCTGCTGCTCCTTCTTCAGGGGCAGCTTGTGCTGCTGTTGCTGCTGTAGCTTGTGCTCCTGCTGCTGCTGCAGTAGGTTGTGCTGCTGTTGTTGCCACAGTAGCTAGTGCTGCTGCTGCTGCTGCTGGTGCTTCAGCTAGTGCTGCTGCTGCTGCTGCAGCAGCAAATGGTGCTGCTGCTTGTAGTAAATGTATGCTGCAAGCGTTAAAATAAATTAAAGTTTATGTGCTGCAGTACAGGAAGTTAATACGTGTCTCTAGTTCTCCTATGATGCTCAATAAAGCCTGCATCTGTTCGTTGCTGCGCAGCACAGCAACAGCAGCATCTGCTGCTGAAAGGAGACCCCCGATATAATTTAAAAGGAGGGTGCTCTCTGCTGTCTCCAACCTCTGGAAGGGTACACAAGCCAGAGGCGCCCCTAAACAAAACATACAAACCCTAAACCCTAAACCCTAAACCCTAAAACACAAACCCTGCAACGCAAACAATCAAGTGCTAAGCAAGACAAACTTCTACAGTTTACATTCTCTTTAAAGGGTATACAACAAACCCTAAACCCTAAACCCTAAACCCTAAACTCTTAGCTATCTATCCTTTGTTCTTCCTTGTGTTCAGGGTTTAGGGTTTAGGGTTTAGGGTTTAAGATGTGGGGTTTGGGGTTTGGGGTGTGGGGTATAGGGTTTAGGGTTTAGGGTTTAGGGTTACTGACCTGTGCAGTCACAGAAGACAACCAAAGGGAGTCTTTGCTCGGCTATAAGGCAGGGGTTTTCAGAGTGTTTATCTAACTCTATCAACGCTAACTCAACAGCAGCAGCAGAAGGAGACAGGTCTGAAGGTACACCAAATTTGCCGAGCATATCTCCTGCTCTGCATGCAAAAGGTCGCTGCCTATACACCCCAGGGCTGCAACTAGAAGGAGAAGAAGGCCTGTAGCATCTGAACAAACAAATAACATACAGATTAAAAATATAATAATTATTATTATAATATTAGAGGCAATAAACAGAGACTAACGCAGACAAAAGAGACACGCATCTGCTGCTAGCCACATGTAATGCACCACACGGAGACAGCAGCAGCAGCAGAAGCAGCAGAAGAAGCAGCAGCAGAAGCAGCAGAAACAATAGCAGCAGCAGCAGCAGAAGCAGCAGCAACAGCAGCAGCCCCAGCATCAGAAGCATAAGCAACAGCAACGACAGAAACAGCAGCATCAGCAGCATCAGCATCAGCAACAGCAGCAGCAGCATCAGCAGCATCAGCAGCAGCAGCAGCAACAGCAGCAGCACGTACTGTCTGGTGCAGGGGCCCCCACAATGCCTTCCTGAGGGGGGGTTTGCTGCTGTGCCTGAGAGATGTCTACTCCCTTCTTCTGTCTCCTCTTCACCCAACTGTCGTCCGCCATGTGGGGCCCCCATAAACTGCGTGTCGGGGGGCCCCCAGCTAACAGGTACCCCCATACTTGAGGGGGCCCCTATACTTGAGGGGGCCCCCATACTTGAGGGGGCCCCCATACTTGAGGGTACACCCATACTTGAAGGGGCCCCCATACTTGAAGGGGCCCCCATACTTGAGGGTACACCCATACTTGAGGGGGCCCCCATATATGATGAAGACCCCATAGATGAGGGGGCCCCCATATATGATGAAGACCCCATACTTGAGGGGGCCCCCATACTTGAGGGGGCCCCCATACTTGAGGGGGCCCCCATACTTGAGGGGGCCCCCATATATGAAGGGGCCCCCATAGATGAGGTGCCACCATATGTTGTGGGGCCTCCATATGTTGTGGGGTCTTCGTATGTTGTGGGGCCCTCGTATGTCGTGACCCCGCTGTACGGTGTATGGACCCCCATACTTGTGGGGCCCCCCACAGTTGTGGGGCCCCCCATACTTGTGGGGACCCCCACAGTTGTGGGGCCCCCCACAGTTGTGGGGCTCCCCATACTTGTGGGGCCCCCCACAGTTGAGGGGGCCCCCATACTTGTGGGGCTCCCCATACTTGTGGGGCCCCCCGAATATGTGGTGGGGACCCCTCCTGTATATGTCGGGGCCCCCCCTGTATATGTGGGGGCCCCCCCTGTATATGTCGGGGCCCCGCCTGTATACGTGGGGGTACCCCCTGGATATGTGGGGTTCTTCCCTGGGTATGTGGGGGCCCCCCCTGGATACGTGGGGGCCTTGCCTGGATACGTGGGGGCCCCTCCTGGATACGTGGGGGCCCCCCCTGGATATGTGGGGTTCTTCCCTGGGTATGTGGGGGCCCCTCCTGGGTATGTGGGGGCCCCCCCTGGATACGTGGGGGCCTTGCCTGGGTATGTGGGGGACCCCTTGGAGGGGGGCCCCCCTATGTATGGGAGGCCCCCGTTTCCTATTGGGGGGCCCCCACCTATGGGTAGGGGCCCCCCATAAGGTGAAGGTACAGGATTATATACAGGCCCTATTGCTGCTGCGCTGCACTGTCCGTGGGTGTTGAGTGCGCCTGAAGGGCTTAAAAAATAACTGCTGCCGCTGCTGCTGCTGCTGCTGCTGCTGCTGCTGCTGCTGCTGCTGCTGCTGCCGCTGCTGCTGCTGCTGGAGTGTATATTGAAGGCAAGGGGAGTAATATGTTGATGACAAACTTGTTCAAAGAAGGAACTAAATGGAGGCAGAGACACCTCAAGTCGCGCTAAAAAAGCAGCTGGAAATACACCCGCGAAACCCAAAAACGAAGGCAGCGAAGGAGCAGCAACTGCTATACACCCTGCACAGACAAACAAAGTTTATTCTTAAACAAATATAATATATATATATTATATTATATTATATATAATCTATTATATATTATAATGGATAATATATAATATGTAATGCATAATACACAACTGCTATACACCCTGCACAGACAAACAAAGTTTATTCTTAAACAAATATAATATA